TTATTCAGCAAAAATCTTTTATAGCTATGGCTGATTGTTATCCAAAGATGAGTCTCTGTAGTATAACTTTAGGGAAAGATATTCAATGCTTAGCATCAATCATTAATCAACACATTAACAGAAATCCATTATCCTGTCAATCTGAGTTTTGGATAAAATGCATTTGATGATTCTTAATGAATAATAATCTCTTTGCTAAGAAAGCAATTAGAAACACAATTTTATATCAAATAGAAAATAAATTGAATGTTTACTTAGCAAAGCCATTTTACAATCCTGTTGTCTTCCAAATTTGTTACATTAATAGTAAGACAGCACTCACCTAGTTTTACTATCTAAAATAGATATTATTTATAAATTCCGTACTTAGTCAAAAATATAAATACATAAAGATATGTAATAATTCTTATTACTTTAATTTTATCAAGACAAAGGTGACAATGCATTACTTTATGGGTAGCCACTGAGAAGTATATACGCTGATTCACTATGTGTTATATAAAAGCTAAATTCCTTAAAGTGCAGATCTCGTGAAAAAAAAAATACTGTAGTGGCATTCATGCTTAAGAAAGAAGAAAAAATAGCAATAAGACAGTCTTCAAGTGCTTTGATAACAAAGCACGTAAAATTAATAAAGCAAGGTAAACATACATTGTGCCTCTGTGAAACAGCAACTAAACTCAAAGTGGTCAGCTGCTGCTGGATGTAGTCAGGGAAAAGTCTCTTCCTCTCTGTGACTTGCATTCATCCATGTGCTATTCTTGAACTCAACTGAGCCATGATCTCTGTCTTGGCAGGGTTGTGGCATGACTCTGTTCTCTACATATTTCCCCTTTTTCTCCACAACTCAATAATCCCAATCTTTCTATCAAGCTACTGCCATAATTACTTTGTTTTTTTTTTGTTTGTTAAAGTTCAAAATGTATGGAAGTATTTACATATTCATTAGAATGTTAATATGTTATTAGCTTTACAAGTATTTTTATTAGGCGTATTTTTCTTAGTAGATTAGTTACAAAGCTACATATGATTTTACTGGCCCACCTATGACCCTGTGTTCAGCATAATCCTCTTTAATTTTAATCCAATGATTCTGCAGAACATAGAGTTGTTTTTTTTTTCCAGAAACACACATACTGTGTTATAACAAATATGTCCACAAGTCACACACATATAATCATTTGCTAGGAACTTCTGCCATTCTCTAACTTAAAAGAGCAAGTGACCTATATCTAAATATTTCTATCCTGATCTACCTCCGCCAAGTGTTGGCACACATATGCACACATCCATACACACACATGCACACACACAAACACACACAAGCTATTTTCTACCAACGAGCATGATAATAACATAAAATCTCTGAATGCCATAAGGCACATTAAGAGGATTTGTTCATAAATTTAACACTGTGGTAAGCATTTATATAAGTAGATTAGAGAATATTTACAGCTCCAGGAGCTTGCATCTACAGGGCAGGCACAAATAATACTCACAAAACTGTTGAAAGCAATTGCATAAGGCAGTGGAATTTTTGTCACAACAGTTGCCTCATCTAGGAAATATCACAAGAGTTCAGAGAAGGGGAGATCACTGGGGGGAGATCATTGGGAGTCCAAGTATATGCTCAAATCAAGTCAAAAGAAACTGGAAGAAATAGGAATATATGTCATCTTCTTGCACATCAATTTCACTCAATGGTAATTTAAAACTTTAATATCTTTGTGAAATATGGCTATGTGTGGAAGTCAAGTCTCACATATGTAGGATAATTTAGAAGAGCTTCACATGTGGCAGGACACTTTGGGCGTGGCCTGACCACTTTTTCCACCCTCTTCCTTTAATACATGGCTTCTCTCTTATTCTATTTTTTGATTAGAAAAAAATGATAAATAGAAAATCAACAGAATCTCATACCAAATGCCCACGTATGAACTATCCGCATTGAATATTTTGCCTTATCTCCTTTAAATCACTTTAGAGAAAATGTAACATAAGTAATTAATGCCTTCTTTGTAGTCCACCATATCAAACTCAAACCCTCCTTTCTCCACAGAGATAATGCATCTTCCTAAAGATGGCATATATACTTTCTGTCAATGTTTTCATGTTGTTAACAATAACTATAATATATATATATATACATATTTATAATATATAGATATTCTTAAATAATACATATTCCTGTTTTTGGTATTTTACAAGATTTTTGAAAAGAGTTTGTTTTATATAATATTGTGCAACTAGGTTTTTTTCATTTGTTATATATTCTGAAGAATTATATAAATTGATATATTGATTATTAGATTATGCATTATAATGGCTAAAAAATATTCCATTTTATGATACACCAAAACAATTTTATTTCTTCTGCCTTTGATAGAAATGTTTCTCTACTGCAAGCAATTCTACTATAATACTTTTCTTGAGAGGAGAAGAAAATGGATAGGAGACGGGACTAATGTGCAGCTCCCACTTTGATGGACAGAACAGTGTGTGGAGAGTCACATTTTGAACTTTTACTCCAAGAATATATTAGTTTGTTTTAATGGTGATGATAAAGACATACCCAGGACTGATCAATTTACAAAAGGAAAGGGTTTAATTAGACTTACAGTTTCACGTGGCAGGAGAAGCCTCACAATCCTGGTGAAAGGCCAGGAGGAGCAAGTCACATCTTAACATAGATGGTGGTAGGCAAAAAATGAGAGAGCTTGTGCAGGAGAACACTTCTTTTTAAAATCATCAGATCTCATAAGACTTATTCACTATCATAGAACAGCACAGGAAACACTTGCTCTCATGATTCAATCACCTTCCACCAGCTCCCTCCCACAACACATGGGAATTCAAGATGAAATTTGGGTGGGGACACATCCAAACCATATCATTCCATCACTCACCCCTCCCAAATCTCATGTCACCACCTTTTAAAGGCAATCATGCTTTCCCAAAAGTCCCCCAAAGTCTTAACTCATTTCAGAAGTCCACAGTCCAAAGTCTCATCTGAGACAAGTCAAGACACTTGTGCCTCTGAGCCTTTAAAATCAAAAGCAGCTCGGTTACTTCCTAGCCTGGATACATTAAGAGCATAGGCATTGGGTTAATATAGTCATTCCAAATGGGAAAAATTGACCAAAGCAAAGGGGCCACAGGCCCCATGCAAATCCAAAATCTAGTGGGGCAGTTAAATCTTAAAGCTTCAAAACGATCTCCTTTGACTCCATGTCTCACATCCAGGTTGCACTGATGCAACAGGTAGATTCCCATGGTCTTGTGAAGTTCCAACCCTGCGTCTTTGCAGGGTACTGCCTCCCTCCCAGCTGCCTTCACAGGCTGGCATTGAGTGTCTTTGGCTTCTCCAGGTACATAGTGCAAGCTGGCAGTGGATCTGCCGCTGTGAGGCCTGGAGGATGGCGGTCCTCTTCCTCACAGGTCCACTAGGCAGTACCCCAGTAGGGACTGTGTCTGGGGGCTTCCACCCCACATTTCCCTTCTGTACTGCCCTAGCAGAGGTTCTCCATGAGGAGCTGGCCTCTATAGCAAACTTCTACCTGGGCATCCGGGAGTTTTCATATATCTTCTGAAATCTAGGTGGAGTTTCCCAAACCTCAATTCTTGACTTCTGTGCAACCACAGGCTCAGCATCATGTGGAAGATGACAAGTCCTGAGGCTTGCACCCTCTAAAGCCACAGGCCAAGCTGTACCTTGGCCCCTTTTAGGCATAGATGGAGTGGCTGGGATGCAGGGCACCAAGTCCCTAGACTGCACACCGCATGAGGATCCTGGGCCTGGCACACAAAACCATTTTTTCCTCCTATGCCTCCAGGTCTCTTATGAGAGGGGCTGCCATGAACACCTCTGACATGCCCTGGGTTCCCCTGTTGTCTTGGGAATTAACATTTGGCTCCTCGTTACTTACGCAAATTTCTGCAGTTGGCCTGAATTTCTCCTCAGAAAATGGAATTTTCTTTTCTATTATATTGTCAGGCTGCAAATTTTTTGAGATTTTATGCTTTGCTTCCCTTATAAAACTGAATGCCTTTAACAACACCCAAGTCACATCTTGAATGCTTTGCTACTTAGAAATTTCTTCTGCCAGATACCCTAAATCTCTCAAGTTCAAAGTTCCACAAATCTGTAGGGCAGGGGCAAAATTCCACCAGTCTATTTGCTAAAAAAACAAGAATCACCTTTGATCCAGTTCCCAAAAAGTTCCTCATCTCCACCTGAGACTACCTCTGCCTGGATTTCATTGTCCATATTATTATCAGCATTTTGCTCAAAGCCATTCAATAAATCTCTAAGAAGTTCCAAACTTTCCCACATATTTCTGTCTTCTTCTGAACCCTCCAAACTGTTTCAACCTCTGCCTTGTTACCCAGTTCGAAAGTCGCTTCCACATTTTCAGGTACCCTTTCAGTAGCACCCAACTCTACTGGTACTAATTTATTGCATTAGTTTGTTTTCACAGTGCGGATAATGACATACCCAAGACTGAGTAATTTACAAAAGAAAGAAGTTTAATTTGACTTAAAGGCTGGGGAGGCCTTCCAATCATGGAAGAAGGCAAGGAGGAGCAAGTCACAGCTTATGTGGATGGTGGCAAACCGAAAATAAGAGAGCTTGTGCAGGAGAGCGTCTCTTTTTAAAACACCTATTTTAAAAATCAGATCTCATGAGACTTATTCACTATCATGAGAACAGCATGGGAAAGACCTGCACCCATGATTCGATTATCTCCCACCAAGTCCCTCCCATAACACATGGAAAGGTGTGATTTGGTTGGGGACAAATTTGTTATATAAATATTAACATAGCGTTCACCAAGTTGTCAAGATGAGATTTGGTTAGGGGCACAGCCAAACCATATCAAAGAACCACTTTAGGAACATATCAGGAAAACTGAAAGAATCCACAGAGCTTTAGAAAGAAGCAGTGTGCTACTGCAAACTCCATGGGACAGCCAAAAAAATGTGAGTCCCCAAAGTGTGAGAGGTGGAAAAGTTTGCCTCTGAACACACATCCTTACTGATTATTCTGAAAATCCAGATCATGGGAGAAAGATTCAACCTTACCTAGAGTTGAAATGGATATAGGGAGCCAAGGGAAATATAAAAGTAGGAGAAACAGTGGGGCCTGGTGCAATGACTCATGCCTATAATCTCAGCACTCTGGGAGGCCAAGGTGGGCAGATCTCTTGAGGTCAGGAGTTCAAAACCAGCCTGGCCAACATGGAGAAACCCAGTGTCTAATAAAAATACAAAATAATTAGCTAGGCATGGTGGTAGGCACGTGTAATCTTGGCTATTTAGGAGGCTGAGGCACGAGAATCACTTGAACCTGGGAGGCAGAGGAGGCAGAGGTTGCAGTGAGCTGAGACTATGCTACTGCACTCCAGCCTGGGTGACAGAGCAAGACTTTGTCAAAGAAGGAAGGAAGGAAGGAAGGAAGGAAGGAAGGAAGGAAGGAAGGAAGGAAGGAAGGAAGGGAGGAAGGAAGGAAGGAAAGAGTGGGAAGAGCCTTTAGTCATTTCTTGTCCCCAGCTAAATCCCAGGGAACCCATCCCTGACTCCGACTTCATCTCACAGAGTTCCTTGGCAAAGGCAGCCTGCAGAATTAGAGACAGGCTACAGGGTGAAAAATGCTTCTAGCTGAACTTTGTAATAATTCTGACTGAGCATAAATTTTCCTGAGTGGAATCTAGGGGGTAAACAGGAAGTGCAGATACAAGCACAGAAGCCACAGCTGATCTCATAGGTAGGCGGAGAGGGACAAGGCCTGAAAACCCTGCATGCTTTCTTAGCAGGAAAGCCTGTAGCCTGGGAAAAGATCTCAGCGCTACACACCAGCTGCCTGGAAGTAAACTCAGCGCTGTTGGTAGGGCACAGTGGGAGTGAGACTGGCCTTGCTGGCTGTGTAGGAACTGGGTGAAGCTTGTCACTTCTGACTTCCCTGGCAACCTGTATAAGACGGCAGAGACGCCATAATCCCTTCTGGAACACCCATTGTCCTGAGAACCACCCTCTACCCCCAACAGTGACCACAGCCAGCCCCACCTGAAGAGAGTCAGAGCTCAGACATGCCTAATCCTGTCCCCACCTGCTGGTCTCTCTACCTGCACTGGTAGCCTAAGACAAAAGACATGAATTCCTAGGAGCTCTAGAGCCCCACCCCTTGCCTGAGAAAAGTGAATACTTATCCTGGCCAATTAGGCAAGCTTATATCCCTCTTCTACTACTGCAGCTGGCGCTCTCTTGGAAGGGCCACCTCCTGGCTGGAGGCCAGCCAACTCAAGCCATTACAACAACTTACAACAGAACAATCCTGCTCTATAGAAAGAGAAAATAGCTGGGCGCAGTGGCTCACGCCTGTAATCCTAGCACTTTGGGTGGCCAAGGTGGGTGGATCACAAGGTCAGGAGTTCAAGACCAGCCTGGCTAGGACAGTGAAACCCCGTCTCTACTAAAAATACAAAAAAAAATTTGCCAGGCATGGTGGCAGGAGCCTGTAATCCCAGCTACTTGGGAGGATGAGGAAGGAGAATGGCTTGAACCAGGGCCAGCAGAGGTTGAAATGAGCCGAGATCAAGCCACTGCACACCAGCCTGGGTGACAAAGTGAGACTTCATCTCAAAAAAAAAAAAAAAAAAAGAAAAGAAAAGACAGAAAACAACAGCTAATTCCACCACCTGCAACACCCTGGCTAACCAGAGACCCTGAGTCTGTCCACGTGACAGCTTCACTGCTAGCATAACCAGCATTCAAGAAAACCAGTGCACTAAAAAAACTACAAAGACTTCCACAGTCTACTTCACTCCCCTGCCAACTCCAACAGAGCAGGTGCTGGTATCCATGCCTGGGAGACCTGAAGATAAATCTCATCACAGGACTCTTTCTCCCAGCACCAACCCAGAGCCTGGTAGCCCTGCTGGGTGGCTAGACCCAAAAAAGCAATAACAATCAATGCAGTCAACTCTCAGGAAGCCCCATCCGTAGGGAAAAGGGGAGGAAATAAAGCCAAATACTTATGGCCAACTGATCTTCAACAAAGCAAACAAAAACATCAAGTGGCAAAAGGACATCGTATTCAACAAATGGTGCTGGGATAATTGGCAAGCCACATATAGAAGAATGAAACTGGATCCTCATCTCTCACCTTATACAAAAATAAACTAAAAACAGATCAAAAACTTAAATCTGAGACCCAAAACCATAAAAATTCTAGAAGATAACATCAGAAAAACTCTTCTAGACATTGGCTTAGGCAAAGAATTCATGACCAAGAAACCAAAAGCAAATGCAAGAAAAACAAAGACAAATAGATGGGACGTAATGAAACTAAAAGCATCTGCACAGCAAAAGAAATAATTCTCAGAGTAAACAGTCAACCCACAGAGTGGGAGGAAATCTTCACAGTCTATTCATCCGACAAAGGACTAATATCCAGAATCTACAAGGAACATAAACAAATCAGCAAGAAATAAACAAACAATCGCATCAAAAAGTGGGCTAAGTACATGAATAGACAGTTATTAAAAGAATACCTACAAATGTTCAACAAACATGAAAAAATGCTCAACATCATCAAATGTTAATTTCCCAGATCAACATTTGATAATCAGGGATATCAAAACCACAATGCAATACCACCTGACTCCTACAAGAATGGTCATAATTAAAAAATCAAAACATATTAGATACTGGTGTGGATGTGTGAAAATGGAACACTTTTACACTGCTGGTGGGAATGTAAACTAGTACAACCACTATGGAAAACAGTGGGAAGACTTCTTAAGTAAACAAAGAACTACCATTTGATAATCCCACTACTGGGTATCCACCCAGAGGAAAAGAAATCCTTAAAAAACACTTGCACACACATTTATAGTACCACAATTCACAATTGCAAAAATATGGAACTAGCCTAAATGCGCATCAATCAATGAGTGAATAAAGAAACTGTTAAACTGTGTATATACATATATATATATATATGCATATATATATATATATATATACCACACACAGACATACACGCACGCACACACACACACACATACATACACACCATGGAATACTACTCAGTCATAAAAAGGAATAAAATAATTACATTCACAACAACCTGGATAGAGTTGGAGAACATTACTCTAAATGAAGTAACTCAGGAATGGAAAACCAAACATCATATGTTCTCACTTATAAGTGAGCGCTAAGCCATGAGGATACAAACGCCTAAGAATAAGATAATGGACTCTGGGGATACTCGGGGAAAGTGGGAGGGAGATGACAGATAAAAGTACATGGGATACAGTGTATACTGGTTGGGTGATGGTTGCATCACAATCTCAGAAATCACCACTAAAGAACTTATGCATGTAACCAAACACCGCCTGTTACCCAAAACTACTGAAATAATAAAAAAAAAACAAAAAATAAAAGTTTTCTTTCTGTTTCTTCTTTTGTGCATGTGCAAAAGTATCTTCAGTTGATTGCTAGAAGTTTAAATGCCAAGTCATCACTTATGCACCGCTTCAACTTCAACAGATATTACCAAATGGTTATGTATGGTGTTGAGAGCATTTGTGGCATTCAACAAATGCATTGGTCTCTCTGCCTTCCAGGCATTTCTGCCCTACTCAGGTTTAGGTGGCACCATATGACTGGACAACAATTAATAAGCAGAACAGTTTTGCAATATTTACCATTTTTTAAAGTACAGTTATTTCTCATTTTTAATTTTAATTTTAGTTTCTTGTTTTTTAATTCCCTTGTTAGCATATAAGAATGCTGAGAACTTTATCATCTGTTTATTGGCCATTAGGGTTTATTAGCCACGAGAATTTCTGCATTGAGGAATTCATATCATTGCCAATTTTTCTATTGCATTGGCTATGTTTTCTTAATTGCCATGCATCCTAGATTCTGGATATATATCAATTAACAATTGGTACCTATAAATTATCAATGTCATTTCCTATTCTGTGTTTCTTTTTATTCTGTGTAACATATCTTTTGTCATAAAGACTGTTTTTAATTTAAAATATTTAAACGTTTAAACTTATTTGTAATTTATAACTTTTGCTTATTTAAAATAGATTTCCTTACCTGTTTCATAAATGTGGTCTCATAATTTTTTCTTTTTTCTTACTTTGAGTGGTTTGGTAGAAGTAAAAATTATAATTTGGGATCTAGAACACTGCTCTTATCTCTAAAAAATTAGACCTATAGTCAGAGATGCATATAAAATTTCTTAAACAGTAGGGTAATTTTTAAAAATTTACTCAACATTAATAAATAAAAATGTATTTTAATATCTAAACACACATAATCATTTATCAAAACAGCATTAAAATATTCCAAATAGTGTAGTATCATCTTTAAATTTTTTTATCAAAGCATATTAATTCCGGATTTTCTAAAGTCAAAAGAAAAGGTTCAGAATAGAAAAGAATGAGCAGAATAATATGTCTTATTGTTTTAGTGAGACTATGCAAAGTCAGAAAAACATTAAATGAAGATCATTTTATTTTATGTGATGCTAAGTGGACATTTGAAGTATTTAAAGAATCAACAGAATGGGACTTCCGTGCACAATAATGCTAACTGAAAAATTCACACAAACCCTCCAAATAAAGATACTAAAAAATAAGAGTTAATTATCTTTGAAAAAAAAAATCTTCCTAAAAGTAACAGCCATCATGTAAATATATACTACATCAAAACCTAGAAAAAGAAAGGAATAAAGACAGACAAGGTCAGCACTCAAACCTTTTTTTGCCCCTGAGAATATATCTATATATAGATAGATATCGATATATATATATATATATATCTCCCATGTTGAAAAAGGCAAATATATATATATGTGTATATATATATATACACATATATATATATTCCTGATCATCACTCAGATAGATATATTTTTTAATTATGGGAGAAAAATCCTGAGACATAATTGAATTTTGGTGACAATGTAGGACCAAAGAAAAAAATATGAAGTCCATAGTCCCCCCAAGATTTGAAATGTTCAAGCAGGAATTCTTATTTATTTCCTCTCTTTATGCACAAATTCAAAAAAAAATAGATTTCAGCATAAGTAGGAATCACAATTAAACTGTTTCTCTCCCAAAGTTACAGGCTAGCTTCGAACATCTGAGTGATGATCAGGAATTCTTCAGCCTAGAACTTAGAGCATAAGAGGGAAAAATGTGCTTCAATGAACAACTTTGTGCATTGTCTAGAGCAGAAGTTAGCAAACCACAACCTCTGGCCAAGTCCAGCCCATCATCTGTTTTTGTAAACAAAATGGCATTTGAACACCGTTGCAATGGTGTATTTACATATTATTTACGATTATGTCAGCTCCACAGTGGTTGAGTGAGTAGTTATGGCAATGACAGCATGGCCGACAAGGCCTAAAATATTTACTGTGTAGCTCTTTACAGAAAAGCTTTGCCCACCCTGTCTAGGGCACACCTTTCTGAGTTACCTTATTCTGATTCTTTAGGAGCTCTTTTATAACTCTGTAGGTTATAGATAATTGATAGCAATACCCAAATTCTTGTCTGTAGACATGGAAAGCATCTCTCCCCATTGTGGCTAAAGCGAGTTTTATCTACATTTGCACGTTCGTTTCCACATTCCTGATCTTTAACTATGTTTTCTGGATTTCCCTTTGAGGGAAATCTTACCAGTTTCCTAATTAATGCGTTAAATAAAATCCTTAACAGGGATTCATTTTTTCCATCTCCATGAAAGTCATGATTTTACATTTCTTTTGAAAATTATTTTTAACAGTGCTCTCAGATTAAATTGTCACTATTTGAGGTTAAGCTACATATTTGTGTAATAAAGTTATTCTTAGCATATATTGGCTTAATGATGAAATATGTAAGACCACTTGGGGTTTTCTGGGCCATTTTGCTATGTTGGAGGCAATTTTTTCCTGCAGTTTCATATTGAACTATCAGACTTCAGCAGACAAAATTGCATCAGATCCACTAGGATCTGACATGCTGAGATACTTAATGACTCTGCATATAAACAGTCTTGCTGTCTGTAGAGCTGCTGCACATTTGTGTCCTAAAAACCTGAGAACACCAATAAAATGTGTTTCACATGATTTCCATCCAAAGTAAAATGTGGTGTGCTTATAATTTTATTTGCTGCTTTGTTTAGTCCAGTTTTCAAGGAAAGGTTCTCTGTTTCAACAAGCTCAGTGTGAACTAAATCTTGCACTTAAGATTTGCACATCCAACGACTAGACACATTTTCCAATGACATGCTTCTGCTTCTGTACATTTCAAAATGTGTTTCTTTTTTACAACCCATATATATCCAGTGTGTGCTAAAGGAAATGGTATGCTGAAATAGATGACAACAACGGAACTATACGTGAACGTCACTGTGACACACTCAGTTTTATCCCCCTGAACACAAACCACTGGTATCCCAATATCTACCTCCCCTTAGCTGAATCTCACAGGTACCCGATCCACCCTTCTTGAAGGGACATATGACAGAGAGGAAGTCAGAATGAAAGAAACACAGTGTAAACTAAATTGCATTAAAATATTTGACTTCTTAACATACTGCCAGGGTCCTTCATGGGGTGTACATGTCGCAGGCGGAGTCTAGGCTCATTCATTTTATGCGTTAGGCTGTCTTAAGGCTGGTACCTTGCTGAAATGTAATTACATAATGAATGATGCTTTCAGAAAGAGGATGCTTCAGATAGCATTACATCTTAATGTAATATAGGATGAAGGGGCACAGGAAATGACCAAGATCAAGATTTATTTGACTTTTCTTTTTATTACAAAATTTAAATAAATACTTTAAAAAGAAAAATCATTTTGCTATAGCATAATCTTTTAGTCTCAAATAATATACACCATCTGGTTCCTGAAAGGGCAGGGGGGGAACCCAACTTTCTCAATAGTCAAAGCTAAAGTCTGTTATCCAAGAATACGTAGAAAAAACACACTTTAAAGCCATATGTAAAGTTAAAGCAAATAGTGGTCTCAACTATCTGGCTTAAGTTTAACTAAAGGGATCTCAAAAATAAAATACTGATCTGATTCCTATACATAGACTTAAATGTTTTTGTGACTTCTCTCCAAGTGGGCAGTTTCTATGAGACTGTACCAGTGGCACCTTATTGTCACACATTATTAGGCTGAAGTTAGAGTGCAGATCTGTGAAATTAGTGCACTAAGAGATTTCTACGACTGGGAATCAATGCAGAATTAATACTTCACTTGAACCTTCCTCATCACTAAAGCCACATCATTAGATTGTACATATTTTACTGCATAAGAGCATCTGAGTGTTTGATGTCTTGAATTACTCAATTTTCCAATAATTTAAATGGACAGATGTCCCACTGCTACTGATGCTCACCCACCGGATTTAAGTAGCTTTTTTATTTTAAAAAGATTTGTGTCTGCTCTCAAATATAGAGGAATTAATGTTTCACATGAACACGTTTTATTTGGTAGGAAATCTACAAGCACTGCAGAATCTCTGGCACAATTTACAATCAATATAATTTATTAAATTAGAAGCAGCTCTCTGGCCAAGGTGAATA